GCAAGGTTCCCAGATATGTAGATACCGCGAAGAATGACCCACAGCTCCGCTTAATTAAAACCCCATGCCAAATGTAGCAGGTTTGCTTAAATTGCTTTTTATCACTAGGCAAAAGCCACGCATCTGCATCGAGCTCACCGATTGGAGCCCTTACCCTGATATACAAACAGGGGTGGGGCTGTTAGGGAGGTGATTTGGGGGTGGCCTAGGTTGTGTGTGTGTTCTGTGGGACTGGTGCTCAATGTCTCTGTCTCATACCCTAAACCAGAACCTTCACCTGAGCTTCCCAGTCTCTAGAACTGTGAACCAAAAATGCTTTGTTGTGAGCCTTATAAACCTCTTGCATTGCTGGGATTACGTAAGTGAACTACCAAGCCCAGTTTGTTTGTTGAGATGGGGGGTCTTGGTAACTTTTTTCCTGGGCTGCTTGCCCTCAAACTTGGATCCACGTGATCTCTGCCTCCTGGGATCAGGGAGGTAGGTGTGTGTGTGTGTGTGTGTGTGTGTAGAAACCAATGTGCCTGGCCTGTCTGCTACTCCCAGTCCTCCTGAGTTATTTTCTTTGGCAACTACAGACTCTCAGGAGCTTCATATTTTGCTTTCTATGTCTATCTCTGTTGCTGACTTGGATTGGTTGCTTTTTTTTTTTTTTTGCTTTTAGTGATAGTTTTGTATATGTGTCTATGATATACGCAATTTTGGGTCTCCCTCCCACTTGTTTTTGCACTTTGCTTCTCCCTTCCCTCCTCTCTGAAGCCATCCTGCCTGGCTTCAGTTTCAATCCTAAATCATAGTTTTCACACCTCCTGGTTGGCTGGGACAACCAGAGGTTCACACCAATGCACCAGCTCTCTCTCTCTCTCACACACACACAAATCCTTTATTTGTGAACTTAAGGTTTTGTTTAGTTAGCATCAATTAGTTGTACAAGGAGGTCTAATCTGTTTTTAAATTAAGATAATTTTTTTCAGGGCTGGGAATGTGGCTCAGTGGTGGAGTGCTTGTCTAGCACGTATGAAGCCCAGGGTTCCATCCTCAGTACCACATAAACACAAAATGCTGGAATTGGCACTGTGGCTCAAGTGCCAGCCTTGAGCAAAGGAAGCTCAGGGATTGTGCCCAGGGCCTGAGTTCAAGCCCATGACTGACCAAAAAGATTTTTTTTGTTGTTTACCAGTTATACAAACAGGATACAATTCCCTAAGGTTAAGGTGAGAAAAAGCTCCCCCTCTCTCCCAGCTGTCAAACTGAATTGTCTCCATCTTGTAACCTGGTCATCATACTGTCTTTTGGTTATTTGCTTCTTAAGTTGTAGCTTTGCCTCCAAAAGGACAGCACCCCCGCCGGGGCCTACCCAACTTCCTTATCATCATAGTCACCAACTGTGAAAAATTGTGAGCCTGACACCTTCGCAACAATGAGAGGGGGTTGGGATAAAAACCAAGCAGATTGCCAGGCACTGGTGGCTCATACTTGTAATCCTAGCTAATCAGAAGGCTGAGATCTGAGGATCAAAATTCCAAGTCAGCCTGGGATGAAAAAAATTAGGCACACACACACACACCGAGCTCAGAAACAGTGCCTAGTCCCTGAGTTCAAGCCCTAGGATCAGCACAAAAGAGCAGAGACAGAGCCGGGTGCCTGCTAGCTCTGGGAAGAGTGGCAGTGTGCCCATCTGCAGTGAAGTGAAATGCCTTAGTGAAACCTCCTCTGTCTCCTGTGTCTACTCATTCTCTGGCATTGGAGGGTTGTCCTGCGTTTCCAATATTATGAGTACAATGCATCGATCACTGTCATCCCTTGTCCCCCCATCCCCTCTTTTTTTTTTTTTTTGGTTGTGGGGCCTGGGTGCTGTCCCTCAGCTCTTCAGCTCAAGGCTAGCACTCTACCACTTGAGCCCCAGCACCACTTCTGGTTTGCTGGTAGTTTGCTGGAGATAAGCGTCTCTCAGACTTTCCTGCCCAGGCTGGCTCTGAACCTCGAGCCTCAGATCCCAGCTTCCTGAGTAGCTAGGATTACAGGCATGAGCCACCGGCGCCCGGCTCCTCTTTGTTTTTTGGAGGGTTGGGGAAGTCAGGTCATGGGGCCTGAACTCTGAGCCTGGGCGCTGTCCCTCAGCTCTTCAGCTCAAGGCTAGCACTCTACCACTTGAGCCACAGTGCCACTTCCAGCTTTTTTTTTTGCTTATGTGGTGCTGAGGAATGGAACCCAGGGCCTCATGCATGCAGGGCAAACGCTCTACCACTGAGCCACCTTCCCAGGCCCTCCTCTCTACTTTTTGAGACGAGGTCTCAAGATTTTTTTTTTTTTTGGTCAGTACTGGGGACTTGAACTTTTTTTTTTTCTTTTATTGGTCATGGGGCTTAAACTCTGGGCCTGGGAGCTGTCCCTGAGGTCTTCAGCTCAAGGCTAGCCCTCTATCACTTGAGCCACAGCACCACTTCTGGTTTTCTGAGTGGTTTATTGGAGATAAGAGCCTCATGGCCTTTCTTGCCAGGTCTGGCTTTGAACCACACTCCTCAGATCTCAGCCTCCTGAGTAACCAGGATTACAGGCATGTGCCACTGATGCCTGGCTTGAACTCTTTAGTTTTTTCACTTAAGGCTGGCACTCTAGCACTTGAGACACATCCCCACTTCTCTCAGGAACTTTTGGCTCAGGGTGGCCTTCATCCTCCATCGTCCCAATCTCTGCCTCCAGATTATAGACTTGCAGGTGTGGGGCTCTGCACCTGGTTGAATGTTGGTTTTCAAGGCTGAAGTCATACTGGCTGCAGCTGGTCACAGGACTGGGAGGTGGGGGTGCTCCTGGCTCCCCAGTGCCCAGGGTTTGTGGCTGTGGGGCAGGGAGATGGCGAGGTGGCCAGGAGGCCGTGCGTCCCAGCCCTGCCCTGGGAGCACCAGCAGCAACGAGAGGGTTACGCGGCCCCACCAATGCAAATGAGATTTAATTAATACTTTTCATCAGCTGCAAATATACCTTCTGAACCCTATTAAAGCCATGAATATGCAAATATAGACCTTTTTAATTCTCATTTTCAAGGACCTGGTGTTTGGGGTTTGATTAGTGAATTTCGTTAACAGCTTGTAAACCTGGTATGAAATTTAATTTCCACTTTTAAGTTTAAAAAAAAAAAAAGGAAAAAAAGTCTGGGGTCTGTTGGTAGCTAACTGTGCGGGTTGCACTCTGACCCTGGGGTGCTATTGCTCCCTCCCCTACCCCACGGGTCTGACTGTAAGACCATTCCCCCCTCCACGGCAGACATCAGGGAGGGAAGAGACCTGGCCACAGTCACCAGCAGGTTGGGACAAGCCAGCATGGGACCCAGGTGCTGACACCCAGGCAGGGTGTGCTGGGCTGGGAGGGGGACACCCCGGGGCAGGGTGGGGGAAGGCTGAGGGGGTCAAGCACCTGGCTGTACCCCTGGGTCCCGTGCTGGTCTGTGGTGGCAGCTGCTGGCTGCTTCCCTGTGTTTCTCAACCCCAGAGGGCATCAGGTCTGGTTGTTACAAGGAGACCTGCGGAGACCCCACTTCAATGTGAGGGCTGATTATTTCTTAATAACACGTCACCATGTGAGTATGGCAACATGGAATGACCCGGCAGCTGAGGAGCCTTGCAGAGGACAAAACTGTGCCCCTTTTTCAGGGACCCCCTCAGCACCTCAATATGGCTGGCGAAAACTGAGGTGAGCTGAAAGTAGAAAGGACACAATGATTTCTAAGACTCAGAACCAAAAACGATTGTATTTTATTACCTCCGATTAACATGCTGAAAGAGTAACATTTTGGATCTACTGGATTATATAAAATGTGAAAATTAATTTTAACGGACTGGAGGCATAGCTCAAGTGGCAGAGCCCTGCCTAGCAAGCACAAGGCCCTGAATTCAAACCCCAGTACCACCAAAAATTCTTTTCAATCACTTCACCAGCTTTTAGTGGGGCTATTAAAAAGTCTGAAGTTATGATGTGGCTTGGTTATTTCTTTCTCTTTTAAAAATGTTTCTTTTGAGCTAGAACCTTACTTGGTTGCCAAGGCTAGCCTGTACTCAAACTCTTGCTCAGCCTCCTGACTGTTGGGCTTACAGGGTGAGGACATAGCAAACAGGCTATAAATATGTCACTACAAAGCCAGGAACCAGTGGCTCACACCTGTAATCCTAGCTGCTCAGGAGGCTGAGATCTGAGGATCATGATTTGAAGCCAGCCTGGGCAGGAAAGTCCATGAAACTCTTATCTCCAATAGGTTACTCAGAAAAAGCTAGATGTGGTGCTGTGGCTCAAGTAGTAGAGGGCTAAACTTGAGCACAAAGATGCTCAGGGACAGAGCCCAGGCCCCTTGACTGGGGGAAAAATAGTTACTGTATACTGTAGTATATACACAACATTGCAAATTATTATTTTGTCCTAGGCTGCAACTCAAATTTGGTAACTGATGCTTTTTCTCATTGGCTGGTGACAGCCCCAACCCTGCATAATTGCAAATTATGTGTCCAGATAGTGAGAAAGGCCAGCTGGCTTGGCCATGGTAGCAGAACCCACTACCAGGAGGTTTCAATAAACATTCATTTACATTCTCCCAGTGCCTGAGGCTGGCAGTGTGATGCCAAGGTGTAGTGCCTACATGGCGTGGCAGCACACACCTGTAATCCCAGTTATTCAGGAGGCAGAAGTAGAAGGATCTTAGTCTGAGGCCTGTACCAGGGATAAAAAGTTAGTCATACTCTATATGAAAAACAAACTAAGAGTGCGAGGACCGAGGGCATGGCTCAAGTGGTAGAGTGCCTATTCAGCAAGTGTGAGGCCCTGGGATCGACCTCCAGTACCACCCCAAAAAACAAGAAGGCATGGGAGATGGCCTCTCTTCATGGTTTACAGATATAATTGTCTTTCTGCTCAAGGTGGGCTGGCACTCTACCATTTGAGCCACAGCCCCACTTCCGGCTTTTTACTGGTTAACTGGAGATGTGTCTCATTGATGTTTCTGCCCAGGCTGCCTCAGATCTCAACCTCCCAAGTATTGAGGATTACAGGTGTGAGCCTGCACACAGCCATGTCCTGATCTTGTAAGAGTCTGTCAGATTGGAGCAGGATCACACAATGACCATACTTCACTTTCCGTCATGGGCCCAGGGGGAGGGCAGACCCACACCAAAGTGTGAGCCAGAATGTGATCCTAGAACTTGAGTTTGTCAACTTTTAAAGATAGCATTAGGATTGGAGGAGTCTACAGCGTGCAGAGTGTGGCGGCTTTGCCGTCAGCGGAGGGCTGGTCCCCCCGCCTTCCTGCTCCACGCCCCGAGTGTTCTGGATACAGTAACACAGCCCCACGAAACCCACAGCGATGCCTGCCTGGCACATTGCCAAGACATATTGTTAAGCGAGAAAAACCGAGCTGCAGAACAAAACACAGTTATTTTAAAAACCACACACACGCTCCGAGGAAACAAAGCCAGGCACTTCGCACGCACACACGCATGTAAGGTGTGCAAGTCCACCCACAGGCGGGAAGGCTTGGAATGCAGCCAGAGGAGGAGGTTTTTCCTTTTTACTCTATGTTTCCCTTGTATTGTCAGAGCTTTATTTGTTTGGTTTTAAGTTAAAAGTTAGAACTGTGCAGTGGAAGATAAGGCAAAGAAAGGAGAGAAAATGTGAAGTGTAAGCGCGGGCAGGTGTGGAGTATGGTCACACAGACTGGGTTTCAGTGCGGCCTCTTGGGTCCTCTTCTGCTGTGTGACTTCAGGCCAGGCCCTCACCCTCTCTAGACCTGAAGCAGAAATTCAAGTAGCACATGTGTGTAATGACATGGGCTCGTGCTTGCACACATAACCACATACCAGTATAGATAGCAACTCAGTACAGGTATGCGTGCTCACGTGTGTGCAAGCACAAGCCACACATATGTGAAGCCCAACACACAAGCCTTGCACACATACATGTAGAACTCATGTACATATAGCCATGTCTGTGTGCACATGAGTACACACATGTGGAACACATTTGTGAGTTCATGGCCTTGAAGCTATACCACGGGGCCTCTGAGCCGCCCCTCCCAGGCTGTCTCAGGATGAAGGCCCTGCCTCACTGTTGCCCATTTGATGACAGTTACACAGAAGGAAAATGGGTCCCGTCTGATTCAGAGCTAGGGTAGCGATGGGCTGAATTTGTAGCCAGGAGAGCTGGGTTTAAGTCCAGGCCCAATGTAGACCGAATGTGACAGTGGGCAGCGGATCCCCCTGCCTTGCTGATCTGGGCTTGGAGACTTGAGTTAACCCAACCTGCAGGCCAGGCCAGGCGGGGAGCGACATGGAACCGGGGAAGCACAGGGCCAGAGAGTTTGTAGGTGTGAGCTGTGCAGACCTGCACTGGCTGTCTCTGGGCAGCCTGGCCACCCCCTCCACACAGGTGGAGTGGGAGTGGGCAAAACCTGGACCTGTGCCCTTCTGGGGGCTCATGCCAGACCGTGAAGGAAGAGTTGATGAGGAACTCTGCTAACATCCTGTGCTGGCTGTCCCGGGCCCAGGCCCAATGGAAGGGCCTGGGGCTCTGGGAGGCCCAGCAGGTGGCCCTGCCCTGCCTGTGGGGGAGCTGAAGGAGGCTCAGTAAATCCTGTTACATCCTGGCAATTACAGTTTATCACTCCAGCACTAATCCTTTAAAATTAGTCATTAGTGGCTTAAGAACCATTTAGCATTGGGCACTCACTAAGGAGCTGGTGGCAGCCAGGGATGTGCTATGACCAAACTTCCTCTGGCCTGGGGCTGGCCAGGACCCTATATGGTGCCCTTACAAGCCAGCGTGGGTGTGACAAACCCAAGTGGCAGGTTGGTCCATGCATGCCAGGGCACGGACGTGGGGACCTTTTATTCTTGGTCTGTCCAGACATGCATGTCCTTGGGGCTACAGGTGAGGAGGGAGGCGCAGAGAGGGCCAGCTGCCTACCTGAGGCCAAACAGCGGTCCATAGTAGAGACCTGACATGGGCTAGGCTCCTAGGAGTTGGTGTGGAACCCAGCGGGTCCGGGTTACATGTGGGCACATCCACTGGGGACCAGGCACCCCTGGGGCAGGAGATGCACAGAGTCAGATGAGGGCACTGGAGAGGAAACTTTATTTCCCCAGGCCAGGACCCTCAACTTGTGTCCACAGCATCCCCACTGGGGCCCAGGCAGACGGGAACTGTACAGTACCAATGTGGGCAGGGGACATGCCCAAGGAAGCGGCGCACAGGGCGAGATTGCTCAGTGAGTACACAGGGCTCAGAGATGAGAAGGGATGATGTGGGGGCTCTGGCTGCTCCCCTGCTGACTGTTCGACAGGGCTAGCCTGGGATGGCTGCCGCGATGGCTGGTGCGGGGCTAGGCTGTGGTCTGGCGGCTGAAGAGCTCGAGGGTGAGGGCGCTGAGGAAGGCTGGGATGCTGTCCTGGCGTAGCAGGTGCAATTCAATGAGCTCAGGCACTGAGCGTGAGAACTCCGTTTCCAGCAGCTGCATCTTGCAGCCCGAGGGTCCCGAGGCCTGTGGGTGGGAAACAGCAGGGCAGTCAGCAGTGGCCAGTGGGGGTCTTCTGCCCTCCCTCCCCACACAACCCCCCATGAAAGGGAAGGGGGAGGTGACCCAGCCTGCCTCCATCCAGTCACCAGTCCAGGGGACTGAGAATTCACCCTGGGCAGCTGGCCTTTGGGAAGCCCCAGGTACCACAGGTGGGTGCAGAGGATGAGGCCTCCCGGTCATTGCTCTTCCTCCTGAGCAGGGAGGGGCTGTGTTGCACTGGATACCGGGGAGCCCAGGCACCCTCCCCAGCCCGGGGACCCTACTGCCATTCCCCAGGCTCATCATCTGCACTTTGCCTGGCTATGCCCTTCTGCTGGGGGCTGGGGTCCCCCCATGGGGGGACAAACCTGGAGCATCTTCCAGGCTGTGTGGGGCTCAATGAGCAGCCCCTCTTAGACTCAGTTTCCCTGTTGGGGTGGCCAAGGCACTGAGTCCCAGATGTCAGGGGGCTGGGAGGGGGATGCTACACAGTCCAGGATGACCCAATGAAAGTTTGGTGCTAGAATCTGTAATTATGACTGAGGGGGCAGGGAGGGTCCGTCACCTGATAACCAGGGCAGCTCTAGGCTAGGCCCGAGTGCCAGGCTGAGCTGTGGAGTGGATGTGGGGAAGGACTGTGGGTATCAATGGGGAAACCAAGGCCCAGAGGCCTGAGGTTGGCAAAGGTACTGGCACGTTTGGGCAGAACAGCAGCGCTCACTGACACCCCTCCACACCTCACTGCAACCTGTTCTGGGGTTTCACTTGCCAGTCAGTGTCACCCAGGCTACACTGGCCCAGGATGGGCAAGGTGAAGGAAGGGTTGTCCATGGTGGCCAGGAGAAGCAGCTGAGCTCCAGGCCAACAGGCAAAGGGCACAGAGACCAACCCAAGCTCCCCTCCAAACACAGGTCTGACTGATGGTTGGTACCCAGTCCATCTCTCAGGTTAGCCCAGAGTCAAAGAGGTCAATGAGGAGCTGGACAGACGGCTGGAATGCACCGAAGAAGTGGTCATCGGCAAAGGCAAAGATGCTTAACAGCACTAAGCGCAGGGGATGTAACTCACTAAGTATCACATCCACTAGGATGGCCACCAAAAAAAGAAACAACCCACAAATGTAAGCCAGGCTCTGGTGACTCACGCCTGTAATCCTAGCTACTCAGGAGGCTGAGATCCGAGGATCATGATTTGAAGCCAGCCAGGGCAGCAAAGTCCGTGAGACTCTTATCTCCAAAAATCTACTCAGAAAAAGCTGAAAGTGGTTCTGTGGCTCAAGTGGTAGAATGCTAGCCTTGAGCACAGAGAGGCTCAGGGACAGAGCCCAGACCCTGAGTTTAAGCACTAGGACTGGCAAAAACCCAAATCAAACCAAAACCAAAACCAAACCAAAACACCAATGTGGGCCAGGCAGGGTGGTGCAGGCCTGCAGTTGCAGATACTCAGAAGAAGATTGGGAGGAGGATGGTTCCAAGCCAGGCTGAGCAAAAAAGCTAACAAGACGCCCATGCCAACCACAAGCTGGGAGTGTGAAGAGCTAACCCAGAAGGGGCTGCCTGGGAGACCTTGGTGTCCCCGGAGAACCCCTGAATTATCTGGCTCATTGCCCTCCCACCCCGACACTCCTGCTGCATGGCCATCAATGTGTGTGCAGCTCCCCTGTCTAACCTGTCTGGCTTGTTACCTGTATTTTCCTGTTTTCTCACTCAAGCTGACCCCCAGCCTGTTCTCGCGGCCCATTAATACATTTAGACTTGTCATAGTTCAACACAAACCATTTTTAAACAAAAATAAGAGAAACCACTCTGACCTTTTCCCAAGAAAATCCCTTCATTTCTGCCTTCTGCTCTTGACTCTCAGCGTTTCCCCCTAAATGTCAGCGGCCGGCAGCAGCAGCTGTCGGGGAAGCAGAGTAGCAGGGGGAGGGGTATCTAGAGCCCCTTCTCCCCTAAGAATTCAGGGAGTCCCTCTGGGTGCTACCCTACCCACCCCCCACCAGATCCTGGTAATTCCTCAGTTGTCAGCTCTGTATCAGCTTGTAATGGACAGGCAGGGACCAGAAGCCCCCGCAGAGCTGACTGCAGCCCACCAGCCTCTGCCCACTGTGCCCACCCCTATGTGCCTGTCTCCTGCCTTGTCGGCCCAAGGTACAGCCTGTCCCAGCTGCCGTGAGGCCCTCAGACCATGTCTCCTGACTCGATTTCCCCAGTGTACCGTACTTCACACTGGCAGGGGGCTGCCCCCCCTCCAGACCCACTTGGGAAGCAGCCAGGGGCTTATCAAAATGTTCAGATTGAATTATGTCCTGCCGATCAATCTCTGCTCCGGCTCTGCCATGTTCAAATGCCACCCGGCCCCCAGGTGCCTTGTAAATCACCATAATTAGGGGCTGTTCACTTAAAATTAGAGCACAATTTTTTAAAAAGCAAATTGCCCAGTAAGACGTGTTGGCTGTGGCTAGAAATATTTATGGGCTGCCTGCGTGCTCCGTCTCTGGCTTTTTCTCCCTCTGTATCTGTGAGGAACGAGCAGCTATGTGGCCGGTGGGTGCCTGGGGGAGATGAGCCAACCCAGCCTTAACCAAGTCACAGGCCTGCACTTGACTGCTCCGACAGCATACAGGGTTTCCCTGGCCCCTTGGACAACGGGTAGGGTGTCCCCCGGGCTCCTCAGACAGAGGGCAGGGTGTCCTCCAGGCCCCTCTGACAGTGGACAGGGTCTCCCTGGGCTCCTTAGATAGCACACAAGGTCTCCCTGGGCCCCTGACAGCAGCCATGGTCCCAAGCCTCAAGTCTGGATGCCACAGTACTCAGTGGAGCAACACAGAAGGTCTGTGGGCACAGGACACACTGGACATGAATCCTTGCAGTGCCCAGGGCTCAAGGTCCTTTCATGCCAGGCTTGCCACCCTGAAACCCAGTGATGCCCTACTAGGGTCTAAACAGACTCTTCACCATGTTGTTGGGGTAAAGAGGCTTTGGGTGGGTGGCAGAATGGCCAGAGGCCAACAGAGACCCCTGGAGAGTGTACAGGAGATGTTCCATGCCATTCCACTGCCCATTACCTGCAGGTGTGAGGTGGGCAGAAGCAGAACTGGGGAGAGGGTCCTGTTAAGAACAAGGGTGCCCTCCCCAAGGGCCCTGGACAAAATCCCATAGATGAAGAAACTCCACAGAGGAGGTGCCTAGAGATCAAATCCATATGAAGCTTAAAATGCAAATTCAAAAGAGAAAATCTAAAATAATAAATCATCCAGGATATGTACATCTAATTACTTTAAGACCTGGGGGAATTATTTTAATACTTTTTACATGTGATATGGTTTTGGTAGATGAACAGAAATGGCCCCCGGCTTCTTGAAGAAGTGGGAAAGTCTGGGGTGGGGACAGAGAAACACCAGCAGAAAAACACAAGGTATGGGTGCATCCACAGCAGTGCCTGGAGGAAAATGAATAACCTAGGTGCAGAAACAAGGCTCCTGAACTGAGGCAGAGGACTGCAGTAAGAGAAAAACAAAGAAACACCCTGAAAACAAGCTACTGAACCAAAGCCAGTCACCTGAAAGCCAACCACAAAATGGATAAAGACCCAACAAAAGTGACAATTCTAGAAACACAGGAAGAAGCAGAGCAGACCGGGGAGGCCTCCTCCACGCGGGCACACAGCAAAGCTTTGCGTTCCAAGGTCTGATAGTGCAGGAGTAGGGGACCAACTCCTGAAGGCCACAAACTGCCACACCTCAGCCAGGATGAGCAGATACCCACAGCCACTGATGAAGCCGACTGCACACTAGACAGCTTCCCCAGAGGAAGCTGTCTGGGTTGCAGATTGCAACCCAGAGGATCCTGCTGAAGATCAAACCAAGAGTTCATTCCAGTTTCTGCAGATTTTCCAGGAAATGTGAGAGGCAAGGCATCCTCACTGGGTACTAACTCAGTGCTCAAGACAAAAGACAGCAGACACCATTCACAAGACAGCAGATACCTGCATGTGCCTCAGTTTTATACTCTGCATATACCCCCACAATGCAACCAGACACACACACACACACACACTGATGGAAAGTCACATACAATACAACATACAACACACACTCACATGCACATGTACACACATGCCCCCCTCACAAACAGCCTCATAGAGTAGAAAGTATAGACCAGTCCTCAACAAATATTACCAAATTGAATGTAGTAATATACACAAAAGAATGCAACTTGTGCTAGTGGCTTGTACCTGTAATCCTGGCTACTCAAGAGGCTAAGACTCAAATCAAAGTCAGCCCAGGCAGGAAAGTCTGTGAGACTCATCTCCAATTAGCCATCAAAAAGTTGAAAGTGGCTGAAGTGGTAGAATGCCAATCTTGAGCAAAAAAGCTAAGGGCTGGTGCCTGGGCCCTGAGTTCAAGCCCCAGTACTGGTACCAAAAAAATTGCTACACCATAAGCAGGGGGATCCATTCAAGTGTGCAAGGCCAGTTCAATGTGCAAAAAAATTGGTCAACATTATCTACCCATCAATAGGCTAAAGAAGAGGACAAGAAGTTGATGGCCCTGCTAAGGCCAGGAGTCAGCAAGGCTGCACGGTATTGGGCCTGGCATTCAGTAAAAGAAGGAGGTGGCAAGTGCAGATTGGAAGGGAGGAAATGAAGCAGTTTCTACTTGGAAACGACATGCCTGCCCAAGTAGAGAATCCTACAGAAAAACTCAGAACCAACCAGTGAGTGCAGTAAAGTTGTAGGAAACAAGATCAATACACAAATATCAATCCTGTTTCTATAGAGCAATTGCAAACAAATGAAAAGCAAACCAGGAAGGAGAATATTATTTCCACAACAACTGTCTCTAGGCTGAATGCGACAAAAGACCAATGGAAGGGATCCAAGGAATATTCCATAGACACAGAGATACAATGTTTATGGCCATAGTCTCTATGAAAATTGCAGCAAAATTTGTGTAGATGTAGTCAGAGCTTAGAATGCTAAAGCAC